AGTGATGATAGTGCAGATTATTAGACTTTTTTTTTATAGTTTTAAGTGCTTCTTTTTTTTCCAATGCAAATAGAGTGATTTTTAACTTCTATAATGCATTTTTTCTTAAACATCTTCTTTCTTTAAGTGGGCTATATCTCAATATACTAATAGCTATATATCTTATTTACTTTTTTTTATAGGTAAAAATAATAAACTATTTATCTTATTTACTATATGCTATATGCTCCAACTTTGATTTTTCTGCATTTTTGTATTATTTTGTAATTCTTTTACTTAGATTTTTTGTTTTTTAAACTTTGACAGAGAGAACGGGGGAAGAAGCTGGAGAAAGAAATAGAAATTCAGGGGAGGAGAGGGAAAGAGAAGAAAACGATGGCTACAAGCCATAAACTTCAATTTATTTTCATATTCATCAACTGTCTAAACTATAATATCAAAATCATATAAATAATAAAAACCTAGCTAAGTGATGAGTTTGGGCCAACCCACTACTACAAGTCCAATAATAGAAATTTTTTTAAGAATGTGTGGTTAAAAAAGAATGAATTTTTTTATATTTATATGTAATATTATTTTATTGCAGAATGTGTGATTAAAAAGAGAAAAATACGTTTTGGATAAAATGGAGGCCAAACAGGGGTAATAAGTAAACTACCTTAATATTTTGTTAGAACTTAGAAATGTGATTGATAGCGTGAAAATAAGTCCAAAAACTTACATTATTGAAGTAAGTTAACATGTGTGGATAAAAAATGATTTAGTATTTAATTTATAAACATGAACCAAACATAGGCTAAGTAACTTATCTGGAACAGCCAAGATAGGTGCTTTTTGGTCATATATAAGATACAAAAGAACCCTTTCAAATCTGTAAGACCAAAAGATAACAAAATGAATCACCATTGCAGTTGATGCTGGAGGACTCTATTCGATTAGCTTTAACATTATCTTTAGACTGTGGGCTTATTCTTGAAACTTTTGTGACTAATGTAATCCTGATAAAATGTCCAAAAGACAAAAAGGTACTCATAAAATGTAGATAAGTACTTCACTGAACAATATCTGATTTTCAGGCAAAGGTGGAACTCTTGATTCTGTGGCTAAGTGCAGATAACAAGAATACAACAAGCAATGTACTTAATACATTGGAACAACTTCACTGTTTCTGGAGCACCAAATGCTAAAAAAAAAAAATTGAAAAGAAGCACATTAAAACCATTAAGTTGATTTCAAAATCTTGATAATAATTAAACCACATTTTATCATAAAAAGAAATCCAACAGCCATTTTTCCAGGTAGTTCTTACTCAAACAGCACAGAAATTCGCAAGTTTCATTGACACACGTCCCCAGCTAAAACCATCTTCTTAAGAGTGATTTTATTTTATTAAATTACTCTCAATTGTATATAAAATATTATTTTTGTTTTTTTCTTTCTCAAATACAATGACTATTACCCATCTAGAGTTCAGTTCCATTCCATTAATTACATGGTCCTTGGCTTTATTTTGAACATTTCAAAAAAAGCATCAGATTGCATATAACATTCCAATTGCAGGGTTTATAATTCTGATCCATATTGCCCCCACTAATTTTTTTTTTCTTCTGCTATTTATTTTAGATTTTCTTCTTCCAGGGTAACATTTGATGGCAAATTCTTCCAAATACAAGAATTGTATCTTTCTGCTATTTAACTGTACTATTGTAATTCTTTCATGAAGTTTTCAGTATTTCATAAACTTATATAGGAGTAAACCTAATAACCTGCTATATAAGATTGATTGGGGAACCCCTTTTATAATTTTTTCATTTTTTTTTTCCTCTTTTGAGGATAGAGTGTGAAATCCATAACATAAAGGCCAAGAGACTGTACACAAGCAATGCTCCATTATGAGTTATCAATCAAACTTACAAAAGAGTGATCTTGAATAACTTGACATTGATGACTTCCGGCACTATGATTTATAATGATTTTTCTTTGTGAGAATTATGTACTGTTGAGTGAAATGTCCAGAAAATTTGAAGTAACGGCAGGATCACCCCTTTGTGCAGACACATATAATGTAGCTGTACTGCTATAATCACCGTATTTTAAACCAATTTATGTTCTGGGCTAGCTAATTTAAAAATTAAACTAAGAGAAACGAAAGGTAGCCTATAGTGTTCATCAGATCCTAATATAACAATATTTGTGTAACCAAAGTTAAGTTATGAGACAGGTTCCTTGTAATCAGCTGGAAGTCTTCTTTGGCCTATCTCTACTTCACCTACCCCTTCTTCCCTTTTTCACCCAAATCGAATGATAGATAGTTACAAGAGCTCCAATGGATTTGCTAAACGTTAAATGAAACCTTAGTTGTGCAATCAAACTAATTTTAACTTTCTAGATTCATGGTTTACTCAATTGACCAAGAAACCATCATTCAAAACCACTCCACTCAGTGAAATCCGACAAATAACGTAGTGAGTAAAGGCAACTGCTAATTTCTAGGGTGTCAAAAATTAAAGCACAAACTAATGCATAGTTTATTTGATGGAGCTTATTTGAGGCACACCACAACCACATAATCAAGCAAAAAAGTACGCCAGAAGTTTTTTAGCTTCAAAACTGCATAACTTAACTTAAAAGCACACGTTT